ACATGGTAGAATGGTAGGGTCTGTGCTTACATCACACAAGTTTATATGATACCAAAAAGTGGGTTTATTACGGTCTTTCTTCTTAAAAGAAGCAACTAACAGACTATATTTCAAATAAAAGAATCCATATGACTAAGCTATTAAAATTCTAGCTATACCTCTTTTAGAATTATAAGTCAAAAATATATTAGAATGAAGTCTGATATTCTCCTGTAGTCAGCATACATTTACTGAGCACCAAACATGTCTGAAGCAGTATAGGAAGCATGGAGGAATACACAGACAAATAAAACTTCAGAATTGACCTTAAAGTTACATCAGAGTTTAGGGGGCAGAGAGAGAGCTGGTCCATGAGTAGATAGTTTAACTAGTTATAATACAGTGTACTGAGAGCAATATCAACTAAAATATAAAAAACATGAAAGTAAAGTACATTTAGGGAAGGAAACTTTGTCTTGAAGGATTCAGCAGAACTTTCAAGAAGAGGCAGCAGAATGTTCATAGCATTATTCATAATAGCCAAAAAGTGGAAGCAACCCAAATGTCCATCAACTGATGAATGAGCAAATAAAATGTGGTAGATACATATGATGGGATATTATTTGACAATAAAAAGAAATGAAATACTGGGGCTACAATATGGATGAACCTTGAAAAGATATGCTAAGGGAAAGAAGCCAGACACAAAGGACCACATATTATATGATACCATTTATACGAAATGCTCAGAATAGGCAAATCTATAGAGACAGAAAGCAGATTAGTAGTTGGCTCAGGCTGGGGGAATTGGGAGGTGACAGCTAAGGGGAAGAGGTTTCTTTTTGGGGTGATGAAAATGTTCTAAAATTGATTGTGGTGATGGATGTGCAACTTTGTGAATATACTAAAAGCCACTAAAAGTGATTTGTACACTTTAAATGGTGAATTGTATAGTATGTGAATTATATCGATAAAACTATTTTTTAGACAAAGAGGAGATAGTGACATTTAGCAGGATCTTAAAGTTTTGAGTAAGACGGGCCGGCCCGGTGGCGCACTGCTATTAGTGCGCCGCTTGGGAGCGCGGCGGCGCTCCCGTCAAGGGTTCGGATCCCACATACAGACCGGCCGCTCACTGGCTGAGCGAGGTGTGGGCGCAACACCAAGGGTTGCGATCCCGTTGCCGGTCCCGGTCCGGTACGAGCGCGACACTGAGGGTTGCGATCCGTTGCTGGTCACAAAAAAAGACAAAAAGGAAGAAAAAAAAAAAGTTTTGAGTAAGAATTCCTCAGGTAGAAGAGAATGCCCAGAATGTGCATCTCAAGCTGAAACAAAATGAGAGCAGTGAAAATTGCACCATTTGAGGAGAAATGAATAATTTGGCATGACTAGAGCGAAGAGTTGTTTTGAGAAAACAGAAGAGCTAGTTAGCCTATGAAGGCTCTTGAGTGACTAGAGAAGGATTTGGACTGTATTGTGTAGGCAAAAGGGAGCCAAAGGCTTATAAAACAGAACTGAAAATGATATTCTTTCTACCACTTCAACATTACACACATTATAACTTTATAAAAGTTTCCTTCTCTCACTTCAAACAGCAAAATAGGGCAGAATTTATACCCATAGATATTTGTAATACTTACTTCTGTTTCTGACAATTTCTTCCTTTCAGGAAGTATCTGATGCCTAGAGGACCGCCTTAAAGGTGTCACTACTACTTCAGTCGCCTTTGACTTACTGATGTGTAAAGCTTTTGCTTTTTCAATCAATTGTTTTGCTTTTGATATATTTTTTGATGCACTGCTCACCTAGACAAAAATTGGAAATATTAATTTAGGTCACTAGCAAACATTTTATATTTAATAATAGAAAAAAATAGAAACATATAATAAAAAAATATAATCACAACATGATAATCAACAAAGAAATAGTTATTCAAATCTTACCAGGGATCTTAAATTAAAATGTGTCTAGTTCTAATTAGTTTGCCTTTATTTCTTCCTTGAAATTATCCAGATAAATATATTTACATGTGTGTAAAACACCCAGAAGGATGTCTGTAGTATAGATTAAAATTGGTGGTTATTTTCCAGCCATATTCATGGCACCAAATTCAGGTAAAATACTTTCCAAATACAAATAAACAGTTACTCAGCCTGCTGTATGCAAGGCTCTGAATTGGGTACTGTAAAGAAAAAAATATTATAATACATTGATCTTGGCCTCAAAGAACTTATATATGATAGGGGAAAAAGGTAAGAACAGATAGGTATGAAAAAATGAAATGAAAACAAAAACTTTAATTAAATTAAATTAAATTTAAATTTAAATAGGGCTGGCTGGTTAGCTCAGATGGTTAGAGCTCCACCTTGTAACACCAAGGTCAAGGGTTCAGACACCTGTACAGGCCACCCACCAAAAACCAAAAACAAACAAAAAATTAAAAAAAAAAACAGATATGGGCCGGCACGGTGGCACACTGCTACAGTGTGCCGCTTGGGAAGCGCGGCGGCGCTCCCGCCGAGGGTTCAGATCCCA